TATATATATATATATTTCACCATATTTCCTTGGATATAATATATTCTTATTACATTAAATACAGTGGCGTAAGTTTCGTAGGAACTGACAGGACTATGTCCGGTGGACCTGAGGGTTGTGCTAGACCCCAAATTGAAAACGAAAAAATAAGTCTTATCTTAAACTATGCCCAATAAAATCAGAGAAGAAATAAATGAATTCATTTATATTTTAATAATTTTATTAAAGTATAAAGTTAAGTATTATAGTTCTCTTTGGAAACAATCAGCAACAAAAAAGTGATAATTTTTGATTATTAACTTACATAATGTTATTTTAAATTATTTTTCATTCAGAATCTTTACAATTTCTTAGTTTTCTTGAAATTGTCAGGCTATTTTGGGAGTTTGGGATTGTTAGAATAAATATTGAGCATTCTAACAGTGGTACAAGAAACCACTGAAACCAATTGAAATGAAAAAACCTTGTATCACTAATATGTTATTCATTAGACTCGAGTTAAATTATATTTGTAAAAGTTTTAATACTCCCACTCTATATTTTAGTTATGTTATTTTAAAACTGTAAGTAAATCATTATTCTTGTGTATTTAAAGTTTGCATGAGGATGCATGAACACATGGCATGTGGAACATCGCAAGAAAGTTTGTAATGATGATTGAATAAATAATACAGAAACCTTGTTTTGATTGTCTTCAAACCTTCATTGATTCTACTAAAATGAAATAATAATCAAGACAATTGTTGGTTAATCTTTAACGTCATTCAAAAAAAATGTAGTGGATATTTTGAGTTATAATACTTCACAATAAATGAAGAATTGAATGGGATTAGACTTGAATTTTTCTCCTTGTAAAACGTAAAAACAATTCGTATTTTAAACTTTCCTAATTATTGTGGAATGTAAAATACATTCATTGGATAAGTTTGAAAGTTACAAAAATGATGTTGAAAGAGCTTTGAGCTCTACCTCTGCTGAAAATTATATTCATTTTCACTATGCTGGGGAAAGAGGGGGAAAAAGTTTCTACATCATCATTTTGATCCTCATAGTAATTACATGGAACTGAACACCTACCTGTCTAGTAGGCTTTTGCAGTGCTATACCCAGAGCAATACTGGAAGCGTGACCCATAGAACCAACTGTCAAAAAGTCTCGCTCATGCCCCTGTTCTCGAGCAACTCGATGTTCAAAAAGTTCTCTTGAAAGCATACCAGTAGTACTAACTACAATATCATATTCTCCAAGGGAGTCCACAATGATTTTCACTGCATCTTCACGTGTGAGAGATAACCTGCAAATGATGGAATTTTAAAATCATTAGTATAAATATTTTAATTAATGTTTTACTTTGAAGTAAACAAAGAAAGACTGTATTTTATGGTAAAACTGTAAATATTGAAACAAGAATACATGATGACGTATTACATTCTCTGATCAGTGTTACTTGGGATCAATTGTTCTATTTTGTAATATTAGGTACTTTTCTAGAAATTAGCTTTTTACATATTAATGTATATTATGATTTTATACATAATAATAAAAGTATTCTTTATAATATATTTACTAGTGCACAATGTTACCATAATTTTTATTTGCGAAAATATTTTGGTTTATTAGAAAAAATAGTTAAATGTTATCATAGGCATCAGAAAGATCTTACTGAATAGTTTTCAAAAATTGAACTTTAGATGAGCAACTTTATATGACAAAAGATAAAATTGATATGTTATAAGAAAATTTACTTTCTCTCCCTCTTTTAAAGTTCACTAGTATTAAAAACCGTGTGAATCAAATGTAGAAACTAGGTATTGCTAGTATCATCATATTTTGCCTTATTAATGCGATTATGTGTACTTATATTAATGAATTAACCATTCAAACTGAGTTGCATATTGGAATGATAATGAAAGTCCTCAAGAAAGGCTCAAAAACAAAGTGTGAGAGCTACAAGCGGTGAGAGAATTACAATGCAAACACAAAAATATAAAATATTTGTAAATATCCTGAACACTGGTGGACTTCAGTGCCATCAATTCAGAACAGGAACAGTGCGGTTTCAAGGAAAGGCAGGGAAACAATTATTGCAATTATATGTTATTCATATTTCTTCCTTATTTGATGTCAAGTCAATAGAGGCCACAGAGGCTTGCTATAATAGAAAATCATAGGTTGGCAATGTCTCATGTGATGGAAAATGCTGATCTGTGAGGATGGATGAAAATCAACAATCAGGAAGGAACTATACATTCTTGAGTGTTCTAGAGTTCAGTAGAACACCCTAATCATAGTAGTGTAATTCAGTGGAGGATTTGATTAATAGATGCAATGTCATAATGGTAGTGTATTGATTCAGGACAGTACTATGAAAAATTAAATGGACTAAAATATTTGAGAGGAGATACAGTAAATTATATCTAGGGAATTGGATCTAAAGAAAGTACTTACATTATTTTGAAAGGTTAAGAAGATATACTTAGGTATCATAATTTAAAAATGTGAAGTTACTAAATGTTTTGTTATTATTTACTTTAAAACACAATATTGTGTAAATTTATTTAATTATGAATAAATGATATCTTCTATTTTGAATTTGAAAGTGTTTTAATTTAATATTTTTAGTAAGTCACCTTGTTCAAATCTATGGATACCATGGAATGGGTGGATACCATGGAATTATCAGTCCTGAACAAATATTAAATGGAAATTTTTATTTTTCCCCTTAAAATTTATCATATTTTTGGTTAATGGAAAAAGTAAAAAACATCTCAATGTGTAATTGATAAAGTCAATAGAGAGCTTTTATGGAAATTCAAAGATCAGAATCAAAGCTGTAAATGAAGACATCACATGCAATCCCAATGAACAGACAACTTACTCAAGGCTACAGATTGTCAACTTTGATATACATACCTAATCCACATATTTGAAGTCATGGAAAATATAAAGAGAAGTTGAAATCAACCTCAAACCCAAAAGCTGATTAAAAACTATCTTAAACAGACAATTGGGTTACCTAGGCAAAACAGAAGATAGATTACAAAGAGCACCTTTGTAATTACAGACTTGGCAAAAATTACAAAGTTATTGGGATGTAAAGGAAGATAATATTGATATCATCAACATTAGGGGTGGATTTTGATGAAGCGAATCTTAGATCACAAGAATCTTAGATTACATAGTACTCACAATGGCTAACAGTTTAATACATGAGCGAAGAAATTGAATAGGCTACTCAGGAAATTTGTGATGAACATTTGTTGCTTGTTGTAAATATTATTTGAAGTAAGTACTATTAAAATTATAATAAAATTGATGAAATCAGTGAAAAATGCAGTAAAAATGATATAAAAAGGTAAAAAAGTACCTTGTAATCGAAATCGATGGAAAATGCAAAAATATGACGTATGAAAATGGGCCATTTCGTTTCGTCATAACATAAAATGAATTTCTATACTAAATATTATTGTTCTAAAATGAAAAACAAAAAACATTTCATTAAAATCCACTCCCTAAACATCATCATCATGAACTGTAGGCATTCAGGTATGATCCTGTTCCAGTTTGTGCTGATTCAGTACACCTAGTACATTAATCTTCTAGGCGTTCCTGATTTTTCCATCTCATTAAAGGTCTTCCAATGTCTCTGTTTCTAATTGGTAAATATTTCCTGGTCAATTATGTTAATCTGTTACTCTCCATCCTGAAAATGTGTTCTTTCCATCTCTTTTGAGATTCTTCAACCTCTTCTACTAGATATTTGGTTTTTAGTTTTCGTCTGATGTCCATTTCTCAACCTGGCTCTTCTTGTGACTCCTAAGAAGTGCCTTAGGAATGTCAGTTATGCTGCCTGCATTTTCTGCTTGTTGTTTTCCTTCATTTTCCATGTTTCTGAACCATACAGAAGAATTGGTTTAGCTGTGATGTTATGAAGTTTCTATTTTATGACATAATTGATGTCCTTCTCAAAGTGTCTTTTAATGCTTTCACACATTCTGTAGTAATTATGTAATTTTCTGTTGATGTCTCTTTGAGTGTAGTTTAGTACATCAATTCTGTTTCCTAGGTAAGTGAGTTCTCTTACTTGCTCTACTATTTCCCTATTTATTTCAATTTTAACTCTTCTTTGTTCCTTTCCTTGCGTTGCTGTAGAGTTTGTTTTGCTTATTGATGTTCTCATGGATTATTTCTGTGCTACTTTTGATAGTTCAAAAATGGCCCTTGTAAGTTGTTTTTGGATTCTGCTACTATTACCTGGTCATCTTGATACCGGATTGTGTCACTTTTTATCTCCTTTGATTAAAATTCCCTGATTTATCTTCTTCTGCCAATTCCTTATTAAGCAGTTAATATAGATTTTGAAGAGAACTGGTGAGATAAACCACAGCTTTGTCTGAGGCTGCTGCTAAGTTGTTATTGATACCAAGTTTTTCCCCTTTCCTAACTGTACTTTTATTTTGGATTTATCATAAAGGCTTTGTACTGCTTTAATTAAATGATTTGAGATTTTCTCCTCTTCCAAGATTTTCTATAATTACTTCCTTTCAACTCTGTCATATGCATTTTCGTAGTTGACAAATATTACAAATGTTGTTAGGGTTACTTCTTTTACCCACGAGTATTTGTAATGTGAAGATGGTATCTTTGGAGCTCCTTCCCTTTCCGAAGCCACACTGTTCCTCACCCAGAAATTTCTTACTTAATAAATTAATTCTGTTTCTTAATATATTTGCATAAATCTTTGAAGTTGTTGGTAGTAATGAGATTCCCCTGTAGTTATTGCAGTCTTTCTTAGAGCGCTTTTCGTGAATATCAATGATTAGTCCTTCCTGCCAATCTGTTGGTATTTTTGTTTCTTGCCAAATATTATTGAAATTAAATTTTTGCATTTCTCAATACTGTTTTAAGTTCTGACAATCTTATTAGGTTATTAGTGTGATCGTCAATATATGTCTGTCTGTTTCTTTTTCCTTCCTGTTGACACAACCTTCTTTGTTTCAAAGAGTGTGGTAGTGTTTGATCCAATCTTCCTCTGGGATGTTGTTCAGCGAGATTGGATCTTTTGTATTCATATTAAGATATATCAGAATTTTGAACTCTATTCTCTGTGGACCTGTGATGTCACTCTCTAGACATTTAATGTATGTTTTCCAATTATATCTTCTGTACCTTCTGCTAAGTTGTCTTACTTTGGCCTTTCTTTCTTGTATTCTATATAATGTTTTAATGTTTGTTTTTGCAGGTAGGTCCTGTAAGCTTGTTTCTTCTGGACTATTATTTCTTTAATTTCCTTATCCCATTTCCTTAACCATTCCTTCTTCTTGCAAGGTTTTATCCCCATGCTTTTCTTACCTGGATCAAGCATTACTTGTTTAATTGAATTTCAATGTTTCAATATCTTCTTTATCTATTGTCTGCAATCAGAATATTGATATGTACGATAAAATTACAGAAAAGGTTAAAAGTTGCTCATTAGACTAGCACTAGAAAATACATATTTTGAAATGAAATGAACTGTAACAAAATTACTGCCTTATCAACGGACATGTTAAAAATACAACCCTGAAAAAAAAATCAATATACCCTTATTCTGATATCTCTAAAATCAACTATAATGTGTGGAAGTGAGGAAGGTATGCTAAAACAGAGAGACAAAATAAGATTGGAAACAGACCAAGTAAGATATTTAAGATCATAGAAATAGAAAAAATAAAATTAGGAATTATAACATACAGAAGAGAATAAAAACAAAGGACAAAGTTCCTGTTGTAGAAGCATACCAAAATAAATAGCAGAACCACACTAAGGGGATGATGACACACATATGTATAACACCTACTGATATACAGGCTAAAGTGATGAGAGATGGAGAGAAGAGGGCAAGACAGAAACATTTTAGAGATCAGAGGAAACATTGTCTCATAAGGAACAGATCATACAGACCTAAATCTTATCTGGTATAGTTATTGTGGTTGTTGTTGTTCTAATTTTTGTTGATGATATTGACAATGATGATAATGTGCATTATTTCACTGGTGGATCCTGAATAGGTGAGGGGGAGGATGACATAGCCCCTCTAATCCAAGTGTTTGTAATATGACTCCATTTATTCAAGTACAGTAGTGTGTAATGTATGTGTGTGTGTGTGTGTGCACGCGCAGGTGTGTGTGAGGTTGGAGTGTATGTGTGGGGGGGATGCATGTGTGGTGTATGTGGGGGTGCGAAATGTATGTGTGTGCATGTGGATATCTGGACTGAAATTGCTCTCCCCACAAAATATTTTGTAGTTTAACCCGTCTTATTTTAAAGCAATATTGTTGATAGTCCCCATATTTTAATTGAAAATATTTAGGAAAGAATATTAAAATACATACACTGGAGTAGGAATTCGCAATTTGAATGGCAAAAAGGTTTGCCTTCTGACTAAAAGAGCAAAAGGACTGTTGAATTCATCCATGTGCTTTTTAGCAGATTGTAAAGTTTTTGTTGCTCCCTCTATGTAATCTGGAAGGGTGGCATATTTAATTCCCAATGTATCTGCAAAGAAAATGTCAAGCATAAAGGAAAGAAAATTATATTTATTGTTTCCTTGGTATTAATGTAGGAAATGTGGGTTTACCAAGAAGTCCAGGTGTTACATGGCCTTGCAAAAGATGTTGTGGTTCATCACGTTTGCCTGGTTCTCCACGCCACCCAATTAAGAGAAGCATTGGAATAGAGTAAACTTCATGGGCAGCTAAAGATACAAGGGGGTTCACAGTATTACCCAATCCAGAGTTCTGTAAAGAAAGTCTTCTTCTATGTATTGGAACAATGGATTCAAAAACAACCTCTAGATTCATTGTTAACTAATTTATTATAGTTATAAATTACACTACAAATAAGTGAAAATTATCATGCATACCTATACCAGGAAGATAAGAGATTCCTCCTTTCATTGTATTCAAGAATAAATGAAGAAGAAGAAAGCTGTCATTTCTAGTAAAGTTCAGAATGAGTGAAAGATGATAAATTTGTCAGGCTTCCGTGATAATGACCAAACATCATACCTGCAAGTAGACAAGACTAGTTTTTCCAGTTGCAAGGTGATACCCTGCTGCAAGACCAATAGCATTACCTTCATTTGCTGTTATTACATGATTTTCATCCACTTCGTTTTGAGCCATGAAAGCACAAAAGTCTAATGGCACAAAAGAAATTAATTTAATGACATTAATACACATGCTAATGTACAATAAACTTTTCAAATACTAAAGAGACTCCTAAGTCACTCAGTACCTTTTAAAAGAGAGTCAGGCACACCACAGAAAAAATTTATTCCTATGTTTCTAAGAGCATTATAAAAATCAGCAGGATTCAGAAAATCCCGAACTAGTTCTGTTAATTGACCATGTTCCTCATTGCGTCGAGTTTGTTCTTCAACTTGCTGCAAGAAGTAGCATTTATTAAGATGAGAGTTAGATAATGGTAAAATAGTTCCTGCATTTCAAATACTAATTATATTGGCTTCATATTAGAATTTTGTGACTGTAGAAAATAAAATTTTAAAAACTTCTTATTTTAAGTTAAATTTTGAACACATTTTAAAAGTTCAGTTTGTTTCCCTTAAAATATGTGTTAGATAAATAAAGGAAATATAGGAAAATCTTCAATACATGATTGGTGGATAAGCATACAAGCTTTTAAAAGCAATGTTTTGTGGCATATTATTTCTTTTTATATTTGTTTTTGTGATAAAGATACCAAATATTTAAATTGCCTTCATCTGTAATATGAAACACATTTCAATACATGAGTGAATATTATTTTATACTTACTGATTCTTGTGAGGAATCCCATGTAGGACTGGTACGTGAAAGATTTCGAATTACTCCACTGGGATTATTTGCTAATTTTCTAACAGTTTGATATAGACACCTCACTGAAGCAGACATTATTTCTTTCCTTAAAGCAAATTTTAATGGATAAAGTTATGTTAATAAAGATGATTTAAAAAACTTTTATGTAGTTTTGTTATCAAATATTGTTTTTTAAAATAATTAAAGAGCTTATAACAGTATTGACTATTGGAAGAGAAAATTAGAATTGTATTTCCATTGAGAATTTTTAGTGAAATTGTATGATATATTTTAACCCTTTTGAAGTTTATATTTACAGTTTTAAACCAGAATATTTAGTATGTTATTATTAAAATAATTGCATACCATGAAAAGAAAATTACTGATATATTTTGGTAGCACTGCCCCAAATATTTCTTTTTCAAAATAATGAAGGTATACTCACAAGATTTGTTGAATAAGTATGAAAGTTTATCACACGAAAGTTGATCAAATTGTCTACTGTATAATGAACGTATTGAAGAATATCTTATGTGTTAAAAGTGATGAGAAGTAAGAATAATCAGGATTAAAGAAATAAATATTCTCTGCAAGAATAACCTACTACTTCTTTCCACAATAACAGAAAGTAGAGAAAAGGAGCCAGAGAACTGTGTCACTTCCACTTTTATAGGCACTCTTGGCATGATATGAATGATCTGGTACACACAATTATCTTGATGACCTTTGTTCTTATTTTGTTTTATCATTGTGCCAGTGACATTAAGCACTAGCCCAATTACAACAGATTGTAATGAATCACTTGTCAATGAATGTGCTTGTAAACCCTTGAATATCATTACATTTTCAAATAGATTGTGTCCTTGAGAACTAGATATTTTTTTGCCTTCATCTTAAAACATGATTAACTGTACAAAAAAATTATTCTTGAAAAATTGAAGTTGAAAACCCCTAAAAGGATGAGTGAATTATCTTGTACTGCTACTGTATTGTGAGGGAAAAAACTATAAATCACAATATTGCAATAGCTTATCTAAAATACTATGATGAATTTTACATTTATTACTAATTTATTCATTTTTCTCAGTGTTCTGTCTTATTTCCAAACACCTCTGTCTGTGATAAACTAACCATAACCATTAAGTAAGAAACTGATTGTTGCAAAATCTGCAAACAAAATATACCACTGCATTAGTATTTTAAACAATGTGTTAAATTAACAAATTAGTTTCAGTCATAGTGCAAGATAAATAATTAAAGAGTGAATTCTATTTACATTGGTCATTGTTGATAAAGATACAGGAACAAATGCACCAGCTGTCAATAGAAATGGATGATTCGCTCTTATTACTATCATATACACTGCATTTCTGAATACTTTTGGAGACATTTCCCAACCAGATTCATATGCTGCCAGTCGTATATGCTCTGCCTATAGAATCACAGAAGAATCTTTGGAATTTCTAAAACAGTTTTAGTTATAACTAATGTAATAATATTAACAAAAATTAATATGAAAAAAAAAAAAAAAAAAAAAAAAAAAAAAAAAAAAAAAAAAAAAAAAAAAAGTCTACACATATTTGTAACATTGATCCAAAAATTTGAAAAATAGTATTGTTCAAATATATAACATAAAAGAATATAGTTTAAATGTAATAAATATAATATTATAATAGTAAATATTTGCACATTCTTACATTCATTCATTCATTCAAGAATCTTGTATTTACTTTTTGATCCTCGCTTTTGTTTCGTTTTTTAATAATGATTTCTTTATATCTAAAAGAATGCAAGAGAATCAAGAATGTGCTTTTATTACCTCAACAGTGAGATAATCACCAAACCAACATAGCCAGAACAATTGTGTCACCAAAAACAGCCATATCACACTCATCTTCACAAGTCTGGCATCTAATTCAGACATTTGCCAACACTGGAAAAAATAAAGTGACAAAAAATAGTTGGGTTTCAGGTGCAACTTCTAGTCTCTCCACAATAAGAAATGGATGTTACGGCAAGGGAAACAGCTGCTTTAATTGAAAAGTGATTGTGCTAATTTTCGGTTCCTGGGAGTTGAATTCTGAAGTGCAAAGAAAATGGGTATGCAATACTTAATTGATCTTTGTTATGAAATATTAATCTCATTGATATTTTGTCATAATTGAAGTTAAAACCATTTCTGAATTCTAGGATTCCTGATGCTTCAATAAAACTAGTAGGACTACAAGAACACACACATTCTCATATTATTTCTAAATTTGTAATTTTAAAAAATTTAGAGAAAATGAGACCCACACCATTCTTTTAAGTTTTACTTGTGAACAGAAAAAGAGCGGATTATGAGTTTTTTTTAAAAATTGGATTAATTTCAAGCGCAAATTACACACAAACCACTTTTTTCCCCAAAAAAACTGAACTGATTTTTAGAACAGACTTTGCCCAAGGCAAAAATTTTGGTCTTCAATTTTGTAGTTTTGAAGTGTTGACTGTTTGTGATTTCGGAAATGGGAATAGCACCATATGTTTTTAATTGTCCCTTGATACATATGAGAAGAAATGTTTTAAAAATGTGCCCTTTAAGAGAATAATTATTTTAAAAAAATTAAAAATTGCCTTTATTTCACCCAAAATTATACAAATACTACTTATACTCGACAAATAATAAATGTTTCCATTCCTTTGACATCGTTATGGTTTTGATATAGCAAGCTGTAGTTACTTGTACCTTTCAAATATCAAAAAGTGCACTTCACATTTGATCAATCAGAGTCTGTTGATAGTTCCATTGTACGAGGAGCTTGAGATTCTGCAAATGCAATGTCTGGTCGAGTAGCTGTCATGAGATACATTAAAGAGCCAACAGCTTCTCAGTATGGTACTTTTGTCGATACTGGATTCTGTGTCCAATTGTCACTGCAATCACAAGGTGTAGTGATAGGATTTGATTTTTGCATGCCGAAACGTTTAAGCAACCTTTCTGTACAGACCTGATTGACAAAGATACCATCTGCACGTTGCTCAATATGCATTCCCAAAAATTTCTTCAAGGGTCCAGTGGTAGTTTTGAAATTTTGCTGTAATTGTTCAATAAGAACATCAATTTCATTTTGATCTATTTAAGCTACCCCTGCGACATAATAATATGCTCCACATAAATGGCAACAATCAATTTATTATTTATACATTCACGTGTACACAGACAAGGATTTTTAGAGGTAGCCTTCAGTCCTTGATTCTCCAAAAAGCTGACGAAGCGACGATTCCAGCAGCGCGAGGCTTGCTTGAGACCACCATATTTCTTCTCTTCAATTTACGAACCAGACAACTTCCATCGTCGAACCCTTCCGGCTGACACATGCATACTTCCTCCTGAAGAGAACCATACAAAAACGCTGTTTTTTTCGTCGAACTGACGTAACTCCATCTTCTTGTTAGCAGCAACAGCAACAGCAACAGTACGTGTTTACCGCACGTACAGTGTCGTAACGTGCCTCTGGACTAAGTGTTTCATCATAATTCATTCCAGTTTTTTGGCCCATTTTAGCTTCGCGTCGAGCACGAAAATGTGTCACAGATCCATTGTTGTTCAATTGCGTGCGGAGGACCCAGCGAATCTGAATAACCTTAGCACCTTTTGGGCGACTCACCTATTCCCAACTACAATTCTCAGCTGAAACATCCATTTCATCCTTCACAGCTGCAATCCAGTCGGCTTTGTTTTCCGAATTTAAGGCTTCTCTATATGATGAAGGATTCTGAATGTCTGTAACTGCAGATAATGTTGAAAACATCTCATATTCTCCGGATGTCATCCATGCTAGCGGTTTCACAGTACGTCGTGTTTTTTCGAGTCGCATGACTCCCTCGTGTGGTTTTTCAGGTAGTTTCTCCAAAGGTTGCTCTTCTGATTGTAATTCCCTGTCAGAGAACGATTCGAAGTCCTCATTGTCTTCCTGTTTGACTGACTTATCTTCAATCCTCATTGTTAGTAACTTGAAATTATCTTCTATTATGGTGGTACACACTCGTTCTGGTTTAAATTAAGCATCATGTGATTTCACGTTTTTCTTGAGAGATGGCACGTACACCAGATAACCATCTCCATCATTCCAGTAACCAACCATCTTACCAAGTACATTCTTATAGTCAAACTTTGTGTATGTGACTGAAACTGTTTCGGTATGTGAGCATTGCTCTCTGTTCCAAAAATGCGTAAACGTTCCAAATTTAAAATTGTACTTTCACTCTATAATTGTATTGATGATTTGATGATTGATTTCCTACTGGAGTTTTGCCTGTGTGATTTAATAAATAAACTGCTGTTTCACATGCTTGTTACCACATCGTTTTAGATAACTCGCTCACAGAAAGCATTGGCAGAGCCAACTCCACAATTGTTCTATTTTCTAGTTATGCTGCTCCGTTTTCTTCCGGATTGTAAGGGGCAGACATCACCAGCAAAATTCTACGATCACTCAGGATATGTCGAACATCTTTACAGTCAAACTCTTTGCCTCCATCGCACCGAAAAATCTTTGCCTTATGACCTGCAGTCAAAAAGTTTAAAAAGAGTTCCAAAATCTGGAAATTTCATTCTTGTGTTTTAAAAAGAAAATACGACGAAATTTACTATAATCGTATTTAAAACACCCAAAATAGCTTTCACCTTGAAGGGATTCAATTCACATAAATCCATTTACATCTGCATCTATGTGTTCTCCAACATCAGGTCGATTCATTCGTGACATAAATGGTTTTCTATGTGCTTTGCCTAAAGCACATCCGTCACAAAAACCACTAGTTTCTGCTGCACTTACATTCATGCCATTGTTTTCCAACACATTCCAAACATGTCGTTTATCTTGATGTCCAAGACGCTCATGCCACACCCGAAGAGTCTCAGCTGCTGTCGCAATATTTACTATTACTGGTACATGCGGCACTACAACTCGCAAATGCATGTTTTTTGACTAAATAAATTTAAAACAGTAGGTAAAATCCGTCCGTGCAATAACTCATCTGGTGAGAACAGCTGGGCGTAAGCCAAGGGACCCGGGTTCGAATCCCGGTCGGGGCAAGAAATTCTCTGAACAAATTTAATTGCAAGAACTATTGATAAGAAACATGTCGCTCGATTGAATGAAACGGGTTACGCGCTCGGTGTTGCCGAGTTCCGCGTTTCCGTCCAGATCCTCTGAAAAGCGCGCGAACGTGTGCCTTCGGAATACCGGCCTGTAATTTTGCAATATTATAATTTTATGAATGATGGTCTAAATAATATATATATATATGATAATTTTTATATGTATTATATAATATTTTATAAGTACGGGGGATTGCTCAGCTGTCACTTTCTGCTTCATCCAGTGCTCTCTATTGGCCCAGTAGTCAATCTGCATTTCTCCTTCGTCATCATCTTGCTCCTGGCTGCAAGTCTGGTCTTCCTTTTCTGTCTTTTCTGCTGCACATTTCAGGATCGTTTGCCTCTTCGTCTTCATTCGCATTAAATTTTCCGTCCAGACATTTGGTTTTTTCTCTATTTCGCATTATATATTTCTCTTAATTCATTTTATTTCGTAATCGTCGTTCGTTTTACTCTGCTATAACAGCGCTTCTACCGCCAGTGTCAATTTTCAAGGCGCAGCTTCCCTTTTTTCTTTTATCGATCTCCCAGCTTCTTGAACCGTATGTTTGTAAACATCCTAAAGTAGAGGAGTACAGACGTTTTAGTAGTGTAGTTGATGGTTTTCTTCCATTACACGAGTATTATAACTTCGTGTCACGGTTCTCTCAAGCTTATATTTCGCTCTCCAATCGGTCTGCTATTCCTTTATTTGTTAAAAGTACCAAAGATTTATTTTGTTACCCTTTCTTTGTCTCATTTTCACAAGATCTTCTATTCATTTTTACCAACTGCTGATATTCGATTTTGTCCATTTAGATATTTAGTCCTGCGTTATAAAAGTGTTCATTGATTTACGATAATGAAACTTCAAGATATCAGCATCTTCGCAATTACTACCTGGTCATCGGCGAATAATATAACTAAACAATTTATCCTCTCAATCGGTCATTCCCATTACTGCATTGTTTCTCCCACTGCTACAAATTGATGCAGATATATTTTAAACATGGTTGGAGAAAACAACAACCCTGTCGCAACCTTTGCTGACTGGGAAGGATCGAGAAGCTGCTGTAGATTTAATCCTGAGAGTTGTTATCTTATAATAGTTCTGTGTGGCATCCAATTAAGTTCACTATTGAAGTCCATTATTTTCGGCTCGTTTACTTAGCACCGTACATTGTCATACGCCCTTCTGTGGAGTATCAAGAAACCCCGACTTGAACTCCCACCTTCTCCTATGATCTCTTTTCTATAAAGTGTGTTTATGTAAATATTTGTCTATGACCACTGCTGGCAGTAAAACCACATGTTCCTCTCTTTTTCCTTTATCTTTCTTCTATTTTTTTCGTATATGTGCCTTAGTCGTACCTATGAGTCCCTAAAACTGCTATTCCTCTGTAGTTTGTTCATTTAGTCTATCTTTGTTAGTGATGTTCTATAACTTCCACTAGGAGGATGTGTTGCTCATCATGACCTGAAAATCGTGTATTGATTGGTCGAGTTATGCCATATTCTCGTATAATTCTGCCGCTTATTAATCTCCCACCAGGCTCTTATTGGTTCATGTGTCTTAACTTGCTTTTTCAAGTATACTTAATTGTACAATTACCTTACTAAATCTTTCTCATCCCTTTGTCGTGATTCTTGGAATTTCTTTTTAGAACAGTTCTTACACGAAATACTTTCATTATTAATTCCATGTTTCCCTTGTCCAGATCATATTGTTTGCTCATCGATTTAATACGATTATATTTTCGGACTTCTTCCCTCTGACTCGATGTCCAACTAATTGGATTTTC